TTTCTGCGAACTTCTCCAACAAATCTTCATGCTAAATCACATCATCGTTTACATTTTATACAAACACACGCAGCGTATAAATTTACATCATCGCAAACTCTCTTCTCATCAGATAACTATTTCAAATTGAAAACTATACAAATCATAATCAACTCGTAGCCAAGCGATTTAATCTGCTGACAGAAAACTTGCTAAAATCTCTTGACACATCCATAAACTTCAAATCAAGATGATGATAAACTCAAAGACTAAGCCCGAATCAGGATTAAGCAGGATTAGCCTGTGAAGCTGACGCCAGTTTACGCTTCTGTTCATTATTCCCTTCGCTGTTTTCAAGCACAACCTTATTTTTTCATAACATCTGAGAACATATCTTGCTGAATACAAAATTTTTTCTCACGAACACGATATGCCGCAACATAAGTTTCCCCACCAACATAGAATACTGCTGACAATGACAATAATAACACTATCAATATGGTAGATTACTGCTGACAATGACAATAATAACACTATCAATATGGTAGATAATAATTGAAAATATTTGAAATTTTTCACGAATAATAGCCGACTAATGAAACGAAACTGACTGAACGATGCCAGTCAGCAATGTCGTGTTAAACTTAACCGTAAAAGACTACGAGAAATACAGCACCTACCCACCCACCACCAATCTATTCCTATGCCTAATACATCGTTCGTGTCGTCCGTCGTTCCATGCGCCATTGTAATTCATCTTGCAGTCACGAACATACTTTAAACGAATAAATGACAACACCTATTTCTTCACTGAATATTCATTCATACACACAATAAATCATGTGACAACAATTTCTTCGCCATTTTGTCGAAAACATGAAATATTTTCAATGCAAAAAATGCCGTCAGAATAGTGCATTTGCTTGACATTACTATCGTAATGAGCGCAACACTCAGGTTAACGCCAACCACATACACACCTATAAATGTGCGTGCAAGAAATAACTTTCAACCACTTGTAAATATCTTCATCGTCATTTCAATGGCAATTAGTTATTGAAGCGTGTAACTGTAAGGAAATTCGCTTGGCAGAAAAGAAAATGCATGAAGACTATTGCATGATGACGATTATAACAGACCATAAACGAGAGATAAAATTGACGTTATACATGAACAAGTTTCAAAAATNGACTCATATTTAACTTAGCTCTTATCAGCTGCATTATTTTATTAACAATCAATCAATTTCATGCTCACACCAACCAAATTCGAATGATTATTATTCACATCATAATCACGACTATTATTTTAAAACATTTCTCTTGCTAGAAATCATTTGGTAATATGGAAGGGTAGCCCAAAACCTCAATGATCGTCAAGTATATCAATAATCGAAGCTAGAATTTCGTTAGGACAGATCACTCACTCCGTACGCTATTGTGGTTAGCTACGTGCAATGTAGGATGTCAAGTAAAAAAGAATGTGATATTGTTGATAACGGATGGGCATGAACACGTAATCAGTCCACATTACTGATCAAATGAATGAAAAAATAAATAAATAAAACATTTCTATCACTGCTAACATTCTTATTATTACCATTATCCTACTTACTAATACTCTTTTAACATGGAATTTGTTTCGACTGCAGAATAATTATTTGTTTTCGCGCGACAAGAACGAGACGAGTCGAGATAAAAACCCTCCTTCCAACCCACCAAGTGAACCCTCCTTCCCACTTCAACCATGCTTCTCACTATTTTCTCGCCTGATAAATGATGAAACTATCATTTTTCTACGGAAAATCTTTCATGATTTCTATGATTCTCAATGAAAAATGACATTGATAATGAGACAGAGAAAGGATGGTGGAGAGAAGAAATCTGAAAAAGTGTGCTCCAAATTCCACCTGAACGGGACGGAACACTTGGGTAATTCCCTTTCATTTTTGATTTATGCATTTTCATTTATGCGTTCCTATAATGTGCATAATTTGTGCTAGAATCAGCGGATATTAAACGAGCGCATATACACATTGAACATTCAATATCCGCTCGTCAGTTTGCTGGCTGCTTCATCCTCCTTTTGTATCAGTTTCCTCGGTTTATTTCAACACCTTTCGATCATTTCACGCGATATTTCGTTTCTCGTTCCAAAGAAATTGCTCATTTCGCCGCATTATTTGCTGAGCCGTTTCGACTTAACAATAAAGAATTCCTTGAATTCATTTCGTTCTTTTTGCACTCGTTCCCGATGCCTTTCATCGAAGGCGATTGAACCAAAAAAAAATCGCTTGGCAGAAAACGAAATGCATGAAGACTACTGCTGCATGACGATAACAACAGACCACAAGAAAGAGATAAAATTCAGGATATATAGGAGCAAATTTCAAAATTTGGCTAATATTTAACTTGGCTCGGTCGGGTTAGTTGCATTGTTTTCTTTTGACTAATGCGCGCGATTCCTCAATTTGATCGTAACAGAACAAAACAATTGGATCATTCTAATCTTATTTTGAATAAATCAAAATATTGAACTGAATAACGAAAACATAATAAATAATTATTGTCGCAACTATGACATTCACGAGGTTAAAGTATACTCGTAATTGTAAGCTTTTAAGCAAATGTGTACACGGAAGACAATTCCAAATAGCAAGATGCGCACGCAAGTGAACTAAAGAAAAATATGGCAAATACGCGAATAAACGAAATACGAATGAATTCATAAAAGTAAAACGAATAATCGAATGAACTGAATGAATAAAATAACCAAAATTTCATGCAAACAATAAAATATAACTCGAATAACTACCCATCATCAAACCATGGAAACCACTCCCATCACATTCTCAGCACCTTTCCATTACTTACATCTAAATAGGACCGAATTGAAAAACCGAACAAACCTCCCACTCCTGACGGTTCTTGGGTTGTTAGCGGTCGAGGTGTTACCACCACCTTGTCTGGTTCGTTCGACTTATGAAATTGGGTTTTCATACGCGGTGTAATCATGGCTTTTGCCACACTGTTATTATCGTCGCTATTCGTCTGCTTTGCCAACTCTTTATCCTTATTACGATTGCTTTCTTCGTTAGACGATGAATCAAACGAGTTGGATTTCACCTGCAATTCAAACAGAATTCTCCCCAAATGCAATCAAAATCTGAACGCTATTCTATTGACGAATAAAATCACGAAATGAATAATATTCTGGCAAACGAACACGTATTCCCCGAACAATATTACGCTAAAGTGAGCGATTGATCTACAGATACCCGATCAATAACCGCGGTAAACATATATATACATCTCCATAAAATTCTACAAAATAATATGACTGTTTTTATTATCAGCATTCCTACCAGTGACATTACCATTATTATTACTATCACCACGCATTATGATCAATATTATTATGATTAGTATCTAACCCCTCCATTCAGAGTTGTAACTGGATTTGCACTATTCGCTTGTGATGATGTATCATTACGATTCGGGACGATCACTGCAGAACTATACACTGGCAATCTCTTCATACCGGTTCCTGGTTCACCTAGTCTACCACTGTAAACCTTGCCATCCTCAGCTGATTTGTCTCCATCTTGAACGTCTTCATAGCCAATATCCCTGCTTGTTTCTGCAGATTTATCCTAAAATGTCACAAAACTGTAATTTTCAAACTGTTCTTCGGTACATTACACTTTCAAATTTTTGGGCAACTAAGTGTACGTAAAACTTCAAATGAACACCATATCTACACAATTCCACAATAATTTCAAAATCTTTCGTTGACCTTCACAAAGATATCCAAGTGAAATATTAACTGAATTGCTTGAATCGCATCAAAATTTCCATCCATACTAACTATAAGACAACAACAACGATGCCGACAAATGCTATTCATTCGAGTACAAACCGACCAAAAAAAAGTCTCCAATATCACTTAAGATGCTAGCCATTGAGTCATCGTGATCGCTCTCCACCGAAGTGCTCAAATCCTGTGAAGGTGCGTTGAACTGAACATCAGCACCACCGCGATGATGACCTCTTCTGGACTGTACTCCATATTGTTGTCCATATGGCTCCTGGTGTTGCTCTACTGCCACCAAAGTCATGATATCGCTTCGCTGTCGATTAATTGATGCCAACAAATGTACAATGATAAGATAAGATATAAGATAATCGATCGATTTTGAACTGCTTCGTTGATGATGAGAGGAGGAGGACGAGGTCAGTCAGCCTATGGGACGACCTGAATTCCACATACAAAAGTTCATAATTGACAAAAATTGGCTCTGAACATATTCTACATGAGAACGAATAATGACGGAAAACACTCGCGATCAAATGGTCTTCATAAAAATCATCCATCAAAACCGCCAATAAGTCTGAAACCGTTCGCACCAAAAATGCGTAAGAACGGGAACGACAAAATATTAACTGCACTAGCCAGTAGAAACAAATCAAGAAAACATAAAATAAACACACAAAACGATAGACTCGAATCGTCTGGGTCACTGAACAGACCACGAAGGAATCAAAACACATGAGAAAGTCGTCCGATTCGATGCCGCAAAAAATGGTTTATTTCAGTTTTATAACAACACACAACAATGTGAATAACGAGGAAATCACTGGACAAAAAAAATGATGAAGGCGATTTCGACTGCAAAAAAAANACATACTAATCTCATTTGTCAGCACATTTATGCCTTTCAGCAAAGTGAATTTCGGTGAATGTTCAAATGATTGAAAGCAATACGAGGACAAAAACTAAAACTAGTATCAATAGTTATACTGAAATAATCTCAATTACAATGGCGATAATAACAGTGATAATACTGATGCCGATATCACAGCTAAACAACGAGAGATGATCAGATTAATCAAACAACCCAACAAACAAATGAAATGAGCATTTGCACAATTTGCACCAAAAAATGAAGTCAGTCGGATCATCGAGAGAATCTGATCCATTTGCCAGAAATGGAAGCAATTCGTGAAAGAGTTTTCGTGAGAGTTGTTTGTTTTGAATGTGAAATGCTAATTCATTCCTCCATCTAACAATAAGTAAATTCCCCAAGGATCATTAAAACAGAAAAAATTTTACAAAGAAAACTATTCAATATCTTTCGCGACAAGGTCAAATCCCACCAGGTATCCTAAAATTTAAAATGGCCGAAAAGTATTCGCAAGCATTCACTACGAACTGGAATTCTCTAAAATCATCCCAACCCAATCTGCTTACTATTAGCAAAAAAGTGGCGAAAATTCAAAAGTTCAATTTAAATTCAGTCGGAGTAAGTTCGTAAGCCAGCTTAGGCCACGTTGGAGTAAATTAAGCTGCTAAAAGTTACAAGTTAAAAACTAACAATGCTTGGCCTAAGCGTTAAGCTCACACATACGCTCAAGCTTCGAACACTCCTCGGCCATCTGACAATACTTCACATTCTTCATTCCATAGGTATGTTGAATGAAAAATGCTAATCCTTCAACAAAGATACATACTCGCACAAAAAGAAACGCATCGCAAAATGAGCGCACTACACATTCCCTAAAATCAATTAAACCATTGAAACAAATCACATAGAATACTCGTATAATTACTCGACCATATACACATTGAAAGCAATCGTAAAAGCAATTTCGCTGAAGAAAATTGCAAAGAATTGCAAAACAATCGATGAAATTCTTGAAAATTGCACGGAATTTCTCACGAACAACATTCAAGCAAGAAAGCAATTTCACTGAAAACACATGAAAACAACCGAATCAAATTACTGCTTCATTGCAAAATTAGTAATCACATTCGTGTGGCCTACAGCATTACTGCATCTGCTAGAGAATTCAACTTAATTCTACGGTTGCATTTTGAAAAAAACGAAACAGAAATTACATTTTCTTGCCAGTAATACAAAGATAAATATCAACAAAAACAGAAGAGATGCCTGCCTAAT